CGCAGAGACTGCTCGCCCTTTGCTGGTCTATCGCTCCAGCACATGCAACTCTCGCGCTTTTCTAGACAGTGAATACACTGTTCCGGGCCTTGCGCACATAGAGCTACGAGACCAAAGTATCTTTCGTCTACGCCGTATAGCGTCATATGCATATGCTCCTGGCCTTCGAGTCCAAGAAACTGAAACACAGTCTTCATGCCTTGGAAAGCACTTTGCAATAGCTGTCCTTTTGTTGCGGCCAGAGGAGGGTCATTCGACGGGGGCGGAGGCGTGTGCGTGTGCGTCTGCGTTTCTTGACCATACGCAATCTGTAGCTGCATCTCTAGCTCGCTATCGGAAGTTGCCGCTGATGACTGAGATGAAGGGCTGGAATATAGTGTAGCACGCGGAGCGGCATGGGGCGTGCTCGCGTGGAGCTCTCCGCTGGGGGCATTGAAACTGTGGGAGCTATAGGAGCTGGCAAAAAGCTCACACTCAGCATCCAGATCTGAGCTCGACACATCGGCTGTACTGCTGTGCTCTGCTCCCTGCACCTCCTCCTCTCCACTGTCCATTGGCTCCCAACCCACCATCGTCGTATCCCCACCCGGTGTGTACGGTACCTCATGTGATCTCTTCTCTGAGCCTTCCCGTTCATCTCTTCTCCTCCTCTTGAGCACCAACTTCTCATAAATACGCTTCGTCTCACGTGAAACACCATGGAGAGAACTGCAACACCCTCGATGACCTGTATACTCCAAACCGTAATACGTGCATACTTGCCTCGTCGGACAATCATTTGAGATACCCTCGCCATTCCTAGCTCTACCTCTGAGCATGATACACATACATCTTTGCGCATAGTCGGTCCACATAAACTCTCAAAGGAAAACGCATTCGACGCATACACTTGCTCGCCAGTGAGCACCGAATGTCCTGCTCCCGCTTCACTCACGGCCATGGCCAGTATCTCGGCCATCGACTTTTCACTATCCACATACCGTCTAGTCAGCGCTATTAGGCCGTGTCTCATCTCCCGCAGATTGAGACGCTCTGCCGCAGCGGTCTCTGTGGGATGCAATTCAAAAAATCGTTGGAATCGCCAGTACCCCATCAGCCGCCCTTCCTGTGTATCCAGAAAAATAAACTGGTTTAGCATCATTTTTGAGATCGCCTTGGCCGACAGGTCCTGGCAGCCCTCAACAAACTGAATGTCGTGATCGTAGCTGTCATCCCCATTGAGCGCATGGCATGCAGCGTAATCCTCCC